TAGTGAAGAGAAACTGCTTTTTAAGAGACTTGTCTTGCGGTTAGACACCTTTTGGAGGTTTCTAGCTTAAATTTATGCTTTTGGAGAAAATGTTTCAGAGAAATTAAATTAATACAGATTAAATTGAAACAACAGAAATCAATTGATTCTGAGGAACTTTAGCTCTGTAGAAAAATGTTTTAGTATGAAATGACTAGAGTGAATATGGTGGTAGGATGGTTTTATACCCATTGTCTTGCTTAAGCCTTATCTTTACAGATGAGGATGTTGAAGCTCAGTGAGGTTAAATGACTTGCCTAAATGTACACAAAAACTGGGATACAGGTTAGAGTTGCAGGGAATGAGAGGATTCACCAGAGACAGAGTGGGGAGCAGAACAGGCAGATGTACCAAAATGCACTGCTGAGGGAACCAGTGGGCAGGTCAGGAGAGGTCTGCTGGGCCATGTGGGTCAGCTCCCTGGCTGGGGATTGAACTCATGCTGCAGCGGCTGTGGATAGTGCTGTGCTTTAACCCATTCTGCCACCGGGGAGAGTCCAGAATGGGTTCTTTTTGACTTTCAAATCTATTAGATTATTAGACTTTCTTTGGTATCTGGCTAGGTTGTGGGTATCTCAGCAGAGAGTTTTCAGTTGACTACAAGAGCAGGTTTCTTCTTAGTCTGGCTCTTTGCTCTCTCACTCATTGTCTTAAGCAGAGTTTAAAGACTGCCTGTGGAGCTGAGTGTATCAGCACATTTTTCTTCTTCACCTGTTAGGTATCTAGCCTTTTGCCTGGCGCTCATCTCAAAAGTATTGGTGCTTTTAGGAGTTTGCTGTAACCTGGGACTATGTGGTTGGTTTTTTTCTCTCCTATACCATATTTCATCATATTGGGTGGTGCCCAGGGTGTAACCTACTTCATTAGTAGATTTCTCTGCCAATTCATGGCTGGTTGTCTAATATCTTTAACCTCATGGCCATAGTCAAGAAGCTTGTTTTTGTCTACGTACTCATGATGGTGGGAGAAGGATGTAATTATGGTAAGCTTTTCACTATGTTGAAACAAATCTTATTCCTACTTGAAAAGCTGGTTGAGGAGGGTTATACTGATGATGTTAGCTTTTCTGTATTTTAATCAGTTTAAGACTATTTCCCAAAGAGAGACCAGAGCTTTTTGAACTGTGACACTCCTTAGCTGCCAGGTGTTAGCAGCTTGTAGTTACTCATCTGCCTAGATATAGTCAAGCCACTGGCCTTGAGTGAAAATATTTTCTGTAGCATGACTCATCTTTTGGCTTTTTCTTTTACCATGAAATATACTGCATATTAATTTTAGGAATTTCAGTCATTCCTTCTAAGGAGTGTGTTACATATGAAATTACTGGAACTCATTTTTCTGGTAACCAGCAGGACCACAATTGGTTATACATGGCATTTGTGCTGAAGTAATGTATAAACAGAGGGACAGATCTGATTAGCTGTCTAAAGAAAGACTTTTGAAGATGACCAACCTTTCAGACTTCTCTACCAAAGGGATATGGATGCAGGAGGGTGAATCTGAGGCTGAATAAAGCAGGTGGTGTATGTGTGTGTGTGAGAGAGAGAGGGGGAGAGAAAGAGAGATCAGTAAATATCACATAACTGTTTACAGTATACGGAGCTCTTCATGTAAGACCTCGTCAGACCAAACCAGGAGGAATTGTTCCCATAATTAAAGCCAAGAATAACATCCTGACCAGCAGGGGACCGGAGGTCAGCCCAAGACAGCAGCTCTGGGGAGCTACAGAACGGGAAGAACTTTGGAAGAACCAAGTTTAACAGGAAGGGAACCAGTGTGCACTTTGATGGAAGGGTGTGAAACCTATATGTCTCTTATGGGGCATGGCTTATTTATGAAAAATTAAAAGTCCTAACAGTTGGATTGTGATGAGTTAATATTTTATCTCCTGGTCATTTAACTAGACTTCCCCCCCTCAGACTTGCATATTGATTTGTCTATGCATTGTTTTTAATTAGAAAAAGGAAAAGTATGTTCTTTTCTGGTGTTTTGTTCTATAAACACTGTCCCAGAGGAATATAATGGACCAGGCGAGAAAATAGTAAGAATAATGAACAGCCATATACCAGAGACCTTTTTTTTTTTAATATAAGTTTATTTTTACACCATTTCGTTTTTTTTTTTTTTTTTCATCTCAATTGTAATCCCCGTGGGTGGGTTTCCCATCGCCGAGTCACCCATGTGCCATCAGACATTTTGTGG